AAGAGAACTGGAGAATCGGCGGAGGATGGAGCTGGTGGGTTAGTGGGCACGTCAGGAGCTCTTTTTAATCTGGAAAGATGGTACCAAGAGACATGTCCTGAGAGTTTCGCTGCAGTGGGGATTGTGAGAAGAACCCGAAAGGGACCTTCCCACTTTGGCTTAAGGCTTGCTGAGTTAAGAGTTTTTAGAAAGACATGTTCTCCTGGTAGGTCTGTTTGGTGGGCCTTTGTGGGGCTGTGGGAGGGCTTGGTCTGCTTGTTCACGGAGGAGATGGCAGATGAGGGAAAGTGTTGGGAGGTATTCTCCTACATGAGTTAGAAGCGGGTATGTTTTGTAAGAGAAAAGGCCGAACGTGGTGGCTCACACCTGTAATCCCAGCACTTTGGGAGGCCAAGACGGGCGAATCACCTGAGGTCGGGAGTTCAAGACCAGCCGGACCAACATGGCAAAACCGCATCTCAACTAAAAATACAAAATTACCTGGGCATGGTGGCTCATGCCTGTAATCCCAGCTACTCAGGAGGCTGAGGCAGTAGAGTGGCTTGAGCCCAGGAGGCAGAGGTTGCAGTGAGCCGAGATTACACCATTGCACTCCAGCCTGGGCAATAAGAGTGAAAGTCTGTCTCAAAAAAAAAAAAGAAAAGAAAGAAAGAAAAGGGCGTCTATACAAAGGGGTCGTGGTGTCCCACACTGTTGGATTAACAAGAGAAGTGGGGAGTGGATATTGGGGGCAGGGTCAAGGGTTGGCATGGTGGCAGAGAGGAGTAGGAGAGAATCTGGTTGTGGGGAACAGAAAAAGGTGCTGGAAGCTTTGATTTTAGGTTTTTTGCCTAGATTGGGGGTAGGGCAATGAAGCATGATAAGGAAAGAGTGTGAGAAAACAGTATCAAATAGGGAACAAGTAAGAGGTCTGGTGGCACATGAGATGGATTCGCCAACCCCCACGACTGAGACTTGAGAGGGATGAGTGGGTCCTGAGAATTCAGGCAAAGCTGAGTGCGTGGCCCCGGTATTGATTAAAAAAGAGATTGGCTTGCCTGCTACCTACTAGCAGAGTTACTCTGGGCTCTGATGCAGTGATGGCAGATGGGGTAGGGGCCCTGAGCCTCGGCAGTCCTCAGTGGCTAAGCCGAGGAGCTGCAGGAGTGCAAGTGATTCTTCACTTTTTGTCTTGCTGAGCGGATGATGGCTCTGAGGTGCAGGCTTTTCTGTCCGTCTGTTGAGAGGAGTCAGACTTCCAGGTGCCTGTCTGCCAGCAGACTGGGCAAGGGCTTTTTGGCACTCTTGGGTTAGGACACGTCCTCGCCCAGTGACCTTTGTTTGCCGCTCTTAAAATAAGGCCCAGGAGGGCCACTGCTATCGGATCTTTTGTGCCCTTGGGTACCATGGCTAGGCTGACGGATAGCTGCAGCTCGAGGCTGGTATTTAGCATGATCTCTTTGGACTTTATCTAACTTGCTCTGCTTATTTCTGTTATTGAAGACCTTGTTGTGGGGTTTGAGGGCCATCTTCAGCCTTTTTAAGTTTGCGCCAAATGTCAGGAGCAGATTGGGAGATAAAATGGGAATTAAGAACAATAGTTCCTTCTCGGGAGGCAGGTATATTTTTAGAGAGCCTCTGTAAGGTGAGAAAGGAATTGGGCAGGATTTTTATCTGCCTTTTGGGAACTTTCTTTAAGTTTTTCAAAATTTATGGCCTTATAGGTGGTCTTGTTAAGGCGTGAAATAAGGCAAGTAATCATATGGTTACAGGATGCCTGACTGGCGTCTGTGGGTTGGTCCTCTCAGGAAGGCTCTTCCCGCGGGTGGCAGTGGCTCCGACGACTTAGTAGGGTCTCCCCAATGAAGATCATCCACATGGTGCCTGGGACGTAAGCCACACTCTTTCCAAGTGTGTTCATAAGATCATGCCAAGTGAGTTCATAAGACTGGGTCATGTAAGTATCAGGATCAGAGGAGAAGGACCCAAGACGTTTTTCAATCTGGGAGAGATCGGAGAGGAAGAAGGGGACATGGACACGAACAATTCCTTTAGCCCCTGCTGCCTCCCAGAGGGGAAGCAAGGGAGCCCAAGGGAGCCGGTTGCCGGGCATGTTGGGCTTGGGAATGGGTACGGGGCGGAGACCGGGAGGATTCAGAGCCAGAAGTGAGGTGGCTGGCGGGGAGGTAGGGCTGGAGTGGGGACGTACGGTGGATTGTGATGCTCCCGTGGGAATTATAATGTGGATGAGGAGGAGGAGGAAAATCGGCGAGGTCAAAGGAAGTTGGATCGTTGGCTGGGGCTGTGGGGGGTGTGGCAGGAAGAGAGTTGTCAGCTGGGGCTGTGGGGGGTGTGGCAGGAAGAGAGTTGTCAGCTGGGGCTGTGGGGGGTGTGGCAGGAAGAGAGTTGTCAGCTGGGGCTGTGGGGGGTGTGGCAGGAAGAGAGTTGTCAGCTGGGGCTGTGGGGGGTGTGGCAGGAAGAGAGTTGTCAGCTGGGGCTGTGGGGGGTGTGGCAGGAAGAGAGTTGTCAGCTGGGGCTGTGGGGGGTGTGGCAGGAAGAGAGTTGTCAGCTGGGGCTGTGGGGGGTGTGGCAGGAAGAGAGTTGTCAGCTGGGGCTGTGGGGGGTGTGGCAGGAAGAGAGTTGTCAGCTGGGGCTGTGGGGGGTGTGGCAGGAAGAGAGTTGTCAGCTGGGGCTGTGGGGGGTGTGGCAGGAAGAGAGTTGTCAGCTGGGGCTGTGGGGGGTGTGGCAGGAAGAGAGTTGTCAGCTGGGGCTGTGGGGGGTGTGGCAGGAAGAGAGTTGTCAGCTGGGGCTGTGGGGGGTGTGGCAGGAAGAGAGTTGTCAGCTGGGGCTGTGGGGGGTGTGGCAGGAAGAGAGTCGGGTTTGGAAGGAGGGAGGAAGCTTTGGAAAGTACAGCAGGACCGGCAGAGGGAAGGGCGGCTACGGAGGGTGAGGAAAGCCTGAGCATAAGGAATCTCAGACCATTTCCCATTGCAGTGGCAAACGTTGTCTGAGTCTCTCAGTATGTTGAAATCAAAAATACCATTTTCAGGCCATTGGGAGCCCTTGTCTAATTGTATTGAGGCCAAACGGTATTACTGTAAAAGATAAGCCTCTTAGGACGATCTTCTGAATGGAGGCCAAGAGTATTGATATTACGCAGGAGACACCCAAGGGGGATTGTTTTGGAAGGGGTAGAGTGACAAGCTCCCATTGCAAATGGGGAAGGCAGGGAGAAGAAGAAGAGACTGCTGATTGACAAGGACGGCAGGAGAGGGTGTCCCCTGTCCGGAATATGGGAGGCATCCTCTGAGTCGGGCTTCCGTGAAATGGAGGAACCAGAGGCCTGGAGGCCGGAGGAAGCCCTTGGCCCAGTGCTGGGTCTTTTGGGAAGGCAGAGACAGTCAACAGTTACGGGTAAAGGGCAACAGTCTCTCTTACTCACCCTGGCAGAGGCTCTGAGGGTGGATGTGGTCACCAGCAATTGGAGAGTCTGGGAGATCCTCCAGATCTTTGGTAGGTTCGGGAAGAGGAGGATGGCTGGGAAAGCAGTGATAGAAGAGAGAGGGAAGGAGAGAGAAAGAGAGAGAGAGAGAGTCCCTTAAGGATGCCCAGCTGGAGTGCACCCCTCCTGGGTTTCGGCACCAATAACGAAAGGGTAGCTGAGAGAAAGGAGAATAGACTCAAAGTCAGGCAAACACGTTTTATTAACTTGCCTGGCTGCTCTGTAAGTATCAGAGGAGGCAGCTTGTTCCTAACAAAAACGAGGACCGCTGGTACCTTCCCTGAGTTTGCATTAACTGCACTCCTATCATGGGAAGACAGGTCAAAGTCTGCTAAGACACCTGGACAGACTTTTGTCACAGACCATTGACTGCTCTGTGGGCCCAACAGACTTTGTCCCAGACCACTGTTATCTTCTCCAAGCCCATTATATCCTCCTAAAGATAACTTCCTACCTCCCTAAAATCATCCACATTTCCCCATCTTCCTTTCTCATACGAAGAAGCCTGTACAAGGATCTGTAGCCTATTGCGTGGCAGGGTAATCACCCTGAGATTTCCCTCATGCACATTAATAAAAATTCACATGCCTTTCTTTAAATCTTCCTTCTGTCAGTTGGGTTTCAGGCAACTGTCAGAGAGCAGAGACGTTTGCCCTGAGGTCCTGCACTAGGGACTCCTGTTAAGTTTCATTATCCTAGTATGTGGGTATTGTTTGTTTTTCAAAGAAGCTCAAGCTTATTATAGAAAACTTGAGCAACACAAAACAAGTAGATTCAAAGAAAAAAATATACATAACCTTAGAGATGTCATTTTGCTACGGTCTGAATGTTTCCGTCTCTCCAAATTCATATGTTGAAGCCTCACCCACCATGTGGTGGTATTGGGAGGCAGGGCCTTTTGGAGGGGATTAGGCCTCTCAGGGTCATGTTCCCATAAATGGGATTAGTGCTCTCATAAAAGAAACCTGAAGGGGCTTGTTTGCCCTTTCAGCATGTGAGGATACAGGGGAAAAGACACCATCTGTGAATCATAAATTGGGCCCTCACCTGACACTCAATCTCACAGGGCCTTGAACTTGGACTTTGCAGCCTCTAGGACTGTGAGAAATAAATTGCTGTTGCCCGTAAGTCACCCAGTCTATATGGTATTTTGTTACAGCAGCCTGAATGGACTAACACACATTTTTATTTTAAAGTTTGAGCTCTAGCAATGGAGTCAGACAGCAAGAGAGCTTGGGGACCCACTTCTCTCACCAAGGGAGGAGAAAGTTGAGAAGTGCCATGAAAATGTTCCTACTTCATCTGGGGCCTCGTAGCAACCATCTCTGCTGGTAAGGCCTGGGCCTCTCCTGGCTCCGGGTCACAGCTGGTCCTTCTTGGTGAGATGACCTTTCCTACCACATACTCACCACATGCACCTCCGGCCTTCCTTGGGAAAGTACCGGCATCTGTGCTCCGCCAGGCCTCAGTGTCTCAGCCTTCAAATTAGCCCATGGCTTTCTTCCTCTTTTTGTTCCAGACAGGAATTACTTCCCTCTACGACTGTGTTTTTAAGAGGCGCCTAGATTATGATCAGAAGTTGCACCGAGATGACAGAGAACACGCAAAAAGCCTGGGACTTCATGTTAATGAAGAGGTAATATTAAGACAGAATATTAACAGGTTGTCAACAGATTAGCAAAACTGTACAGGCATATCTAGTTTTATTGGACTTCACTTTATTGGCTTTTATAGATACTGCATTTGTTCACAAATCGAAAGTTTGTGGTAACCTTATGTCAAGTAAGTCTGTTGGTGCCATTTTTCCAATAGTGTGTGCTCCCTTCCTATCCCTGTGTTAGCATTTTTTAACAATAAAGTATTTACAAATTAAGCTCTATACATTTTTCAGACATAATGCTATTGCACACTTAATACACTATGGTGTGGTGTAAATATAACTTATATATGCACTGAAAACCCCCCAAAATTTTATGACTCACTTCATATCGATAGTTACCTTATTGCCATGGTTTAGAACCAAATCTGCAGTATCTCTGAGGTATGCTTGTACGTGTGTGTGTGTGTGTGTGTGTGTGTGTGGTGGAGGGTGCATGAACAGTCATGCATCACTTAACGACAGGGACTCATTCTGAGAAATTCATTGCTAGGCGATTTTGTCATCGAGTGAACATCAGAGTGTACCTAACACAAATCTAGGTAACACAGCTTACTCCATGCCTAGGCCATATGGTACAGCTTACTGCTCCTAGGCCATCAACCTGTACAGCACGTTACTGTAGACAATGTCGTAGATGATTATAACACAATGGTAAGTATTGGTATATCTAAACATAAAAAGGTACAGCAAAAGTATGGCATAAAAGATAAGAAACGATACCTTTGTGTGGGCACTTACCTCGAATGGAGCTTGCAGGACTGGAGGCTGCTGTGGTGAGTCAGGGAGTGCGTGCTGAGTCAGGGAGTGCGTGCTGAGTGAATGTGAAGGCCCAGGGCATTTCTGTGACTACCGTAGCCTTTATAAACACTGCACACTTTGGCTGCAGTAAAGTCATTACATATTTTTTTCTTTAATAATAAATTAGCTTACTATAACTTTTTAACCTTATAAAGTTTTTAATTTTAAAAACTTGATGACTCTTTTGTAGTAACACTTAGCTTAAAACAAACACATTGGACAGCTGGACAAAAACATTTCCTTTATCTCTTTATAAGGTTTCTCTCTTTATTTTTTTTTTAAGCTTTTAAAGTTTTTGGTTAAAAACTGAGACACAAACACACACCGTAGCCTAGGCCTACTCAGGGTCAGGATCGTCAGTATCACTGCCTTCCACCCCCACACCTCGTCCCACTGGAAGGTCTTCAAAGGCAATGGCACACAACACGATGGAGCTGTCATCTCCTATGCTAACAATGTCTTCTCTGGAATACCTCCTAAAGAACCTGCATGAGGCTTTTCTACAGTTAACTTTAAAAAATAAGTTGAAGGAGTACACTGTTAAAATAGCAATAAAAAGTATCATAAATACATAAAGCTATGCATAATAAATACACAGTCAAGCACTATGAGCTGTACAGAATTGTATGTGCTGTATTTTATGTGACTGGCAGCACAGGTTTGTTTTCGCCATGACTAATGTGCTGTGCTACAACATGACAACAGTTACGGCATCGTTAGGTGATAGGAACTTTTCAGTTCTATAAGATTTTGCCATTTTAATGGCAAAAACAGCAATTATGTTTGAACCAACCTAATATTACAACCTTATTGGGACTACCATCATATATGCGATCCATCATTGAGTAAAATGTCATGTGGCACACGACTGTATGTGTATATGTGTATGCATGTATATAGGCATACATGTATGTACACGTATGTATGGATGTATGTATATGCATATACATATATGTATATTTTATATATTGTACATGCTTTGTGTGTATGCATATGTGTATCTGTGCTTATACATGTGTACATGTGTGTATATGCATGTATGTGTGCATATGTGTTCATGTGTATGTGCCTGCTTGTGAATGTGTATAAATGTGTGTATAGGTGCATGCATATGTGTATATGTGTGTATATACGTGTGCATACATGTATATGTCATGCACATGTGTATATTGTATTGTGTATATGCACGTACATTTATGTGTACATGCATTGTGTTATGTGTACACCTACACATATATATTTAGTGTTGTGCTCAGCTGCTTTATTTAATTTTCTTTATGCAGCGCTCTATTTGTGCCAACAAGCTAAGGCTGAGCTACTATTATAGCTCTCTTTGTTCAGTCATGTCATCGTGTGTTTTTCTTGTAATATTTTTTGGTTCTTTAGAATTTAACAATTTAAGGACAGCAAAGCTAAGATGTTCTCTTCAACAGATAAAACAAGTGTCTGCTTAACCGCTGAGTCCTGGCTTTCATAATTGTTCTGGAAAAGTTGATTTTGCAGGGCTGAAGTTGCACACACGAGAACATTTCTTCCAAGTTTAGTTACCAAGCCACCATCACCAGCACATGTAGTGCGTTCTAAGTTGACAGCAAAGTTAGTGTTTTCCCCAGGAGAAAAATATGGCACATTGTTTTTTAGAAAAAATCCCCATCCTCTCAAAGCTGTCATACCTACAGGGAAAGAGATAAAGTAAAGGCACAGAAATCATGGGTCAGGTGTGGTGGCTCACGCCTGTAATTCTAGCACTTTGGGAGGCTGAGGCAGGTGGGACACCTGAGGTCATGAGTTCAAGACCAGCCTGGCCAAGGTGGTGAAACCCCATCTCTAATAAAAATACAAAAATTAGCCAGGTGTGGTGGTGCACTCTTGTAATCTCAGCTACCAGAGAAGCTGAGGCAGGAGAATTGTTTAAACCTGGGAGGCGAAGGTTGCAGTGAACTGAGATTGCGTTACTGCATTCCAGTCTAGGCTACAAGAACAAGACTCCATCTCGAAAAAAGAAAGAAATCATGAGCAAATTCTAGGTAGTGATGAGTGGTGGTATATAGGAAGAGTAAGCCATGTGAGGATGTGAGGAGATGCGAAAAGTGAAAGGGATGAGCAGGGAGCTGGGGAGAGGCGGGGCCAGGGAGGACCTGGACATCTGAGCCAGGATCTGGGTGGTGGGAAGGGACCAGCAGCAGCAGGAGAGGGAAATGACCAGAAAGAGCCCAAGGACAGACAGGTAGAGCAAATGGTCTGGGCCAGTTGATGGAGCCCCTGGCTTCAACATGGAGGCATCCTCTTGGTCCACCATGGGAGAAATAGCTCCCAGGACCGAGGCTGACGGATGTGCGGGTGAGTTGTGCTGGTGAATGCAGTGGTGCTGACCATGTGCTTTGACAACTGTCACCAGGAACAGGAGAGGCCGGTTGGTGTGCTGACGTCTTCTGTCTACGGGAAGCGCATCAGTCAGCCCATTGAACCCCTAAACCGGGACTTCGGCCGTGCCAACCACGTACAGGCTGACTTCTACAGGAAGAATGACATCCCCAGCCTCAGGGCACCTGGCTTTGGGCACATTGCTCCAGCCTGAAGCATCCGTGTGGCCCACAGGGCATGTCACAATACCCCGCTGGCAAATACAGGGCTGGCAAAGTTGTACAGTGAAAAGGTGGCGTCTGAAACCTTCTTTCCCATCTCATGACACCTAGGAGCTTGGCTATGCCTGTGTTATATCTCTACTGTGGGCACATGAACACATTAGCAGGAGCCTGAGCAAACACCTGTAGTACATGTGAATCGTCTCTAGTGGGATGATTTTCAGCTGGAATTATTTTTGATCAAATGATACTGGAGACTGATTCATTGTGAGCACTTAAATAAAATGAAAACTTTGTTCCCCTTAGTAATGGTTGGGTTGGTTTTTGTTCACTGGCTGTCTACATTTGCCAGGATTCTTTGGGGAGGCAGTCACAGGAGTGAGGTGCAGTTACGTTTCCCAAGAGTTATGGGAACTCCTGCTGCCTCGTAACACAGACAACCCTGACATGTTCCCTCCTCCAAGAGGAGATGTAATGACAATTGTCTGTCGGCACAGTCAGACTCTAGAAACTACATTTTTGTTGTTCCAGACGTCTGAACCACAAATAACAGGATTTTTTGCAACCAGGACTGGGAGTCCTAGTAAGGATGGGTGGCCCTGTTATCCTGGTGGCCAGCAGTGCTCACTGTCACTGCTCAGGGAGAGGGGGCCAGTCATGGAGAGAGACTTTGGTGTTCAACGAACTTGGGTAAAATTCTGGCTGCTACATGTTCTAGATTTGTGTTCTAGGGCAAGTCATGTCCTCTATTTGAGCAGACAAGTCCTCATCTTTGAAGTGGAATTTCCAAACCTAGAAAAGTTCATCTGGGAGGCAGCGAGCTGCTGGAGTGCAGGCATAACACGAGCGTAATGTGCGTGCCCCGGGCAGGGTCCATCATCACAGCAGTGACGACTTTAAACAGTCTTCTTTTGGGATGCACTTGCTTTTAACCCAAGTTAAAAATACTTACTTCGGAGATAATTTGAAACTTACCCACGTATTAAGGTATCAGCTACGTTTTTAATGAATGGATCCCTTGGAAGAACTCATCTCTCATCTACCATGAGATTCATGATTGAATTTCCCCCAGTTTAGCAGTGAATGGGCAGGTGGTCTAATTAAGTTCAATGCTGATTCCTCCATCACTGGTTTTATCATTTGGAATCTGCCAAGAGGATTCTCTAAAAATAAATGACACTGAATTGCCAGCGATTTCAAGGCTGAGTGACTCCTAAATATTTATTTTTCTGAAAACAGTTTTTCAGTGTAAGTGTCTTTTATTTATTTCAAACAAATGGCAGTCGTTTATTTCGAATGCCTTTGGGTGCATTATACCACATTTATAATAACATAATAGAAAATATATAAAGTTTGGGTTATAGAAATATTTATAAATTATTCAGACTCGATTTCAACAAAGACAAGGCATCTGTAAGTGACTGCAATAAATTAATGTCAAACTAACTTATTGTCATTTACTTTAAGCCAGGCCTTACTCCCTTCACCCTCTGCTACATACTGACTTTCAACAGGCAGGGCTGTAACTGGCCAAGATCTGAAAAGATCTCACATTTGTTAAGCAGTAAGAGAAAATTCAGTGTATTTATCTTG